GTCACTCAAGTGGCCACGCCCTTAATTATGCAGAACTTTAAGGCTTAATATAATTGAAACGGATGAGTTATAAAAAAATTCACCCCCCTCACAGTTGTCATGAAGGGCAAAATTAGCTATATAGACCAAAACCACTTTTTGTACCAGGCTGTAAAAAAAATTTTCTGCTGTAAAGTTGGGCAGTTTAACATGGGGAGTCTATGGGACTGACTCCCTTTTGGAGCCAGCCTGTAACGGCCGAATTGCAGTTTTAGTCACTTCCGTGTTGGTTTCACGCAGGGCCGGCGTGAGCTCAACTGCCGCTCTAGGCAAAACCCTACCGTGCCTCCCCCACTTCACAATCACAATTAAACACAATCTTTAAGATGCATGTGAAAGACTGGAGATTTTGTTTATTGGTACAACTGCGTTAAAATAAAGCAGACACGGGCGTGTTTTCTGATTATTATATATTTTCTTCCTACTGCAACATTAAAAAAATAAATTAATAAAAATAACCACTAGTATAGCTGCAAAAGCAAATTAAGTGTATGTACAGGCCTGAAGTGGCCATGGGAAGATTTGGGAGAATTCCCGGTAAGCAGCTCGACGAACATTGTTCAGGACACGGAAAGCACAAGTCTCTGTAGTTCATTTTCACTAAGAGACATAGAAATCTGTTCAAGCCGTGCTCGTACAGCTGAAATCCCTATTCGTAGTCAGGGTGTAATTTGAACAAGCTGGGTCCGGGTCCAGCACCTCCGAATTCCGATAACCTCATTTGGCGGATCCCCCTCCTCACGCACCAATGAAAGATGAAAAGTTTGTGTGAGGGTTATTATAGTTTTGCATTTTTAAATTCGTTTTTATTTTAATATCGCTTTCCATTTTCTGTTATTAGTTTCATTAATAATTTGGTTAATTTTAGTTTAGTTTTTATTTTGTGAACAGATTTATAGCCTATTTAGTTTTTATACAGATTAGTTTAAGTTTTAATTTTAGTTTTAGTAATTAAAGTTTAGCAGAATTAACAGAACACTTCCAGAGCGCAGACCAAAGACATTTTAATTTAAGCTTATTGACGCAAACCTCTAGCGACACAAAATTAAAGCATGCTGAGATT